AGATATTGAAATGACAATAGGTATTTCACAATAAAATGTGTCTTATATGAATGTATGACTTCAATGACTGTTGGTGTCTCTGCAGGTCTAAGTGGACAAAACCCGTACTCCAGATTTGCATGAGAGCATCAGACACCACAGACCTCTGAGGTTATCATAGACAGCAGCAGACTGTCTTGTTGTTGTGAGTGGAGACGTGACCCCGAGGATGAATGAAAACTATAGTTAATTAAATGCCACAGAAGTGCCAGTTTGTATAGACCGCCATTAGTGTCGCTCAGCCAATGAACAGGAGTGTGATGTTCACTGTAATGAACCAGGAGGCTGTAAGTGACGGAGAGAATAGATGTAGCAGCAGTGTGGCTGCTGAAGCATCAGTCCACTCATATTTATTAGATCAGTTTCATTGGACAGTTTGGAGAGAATCATGTTTGGGAGCAGACACAGTTTTTGTTGCATCTGTTATGTTTCAAATGTCACATATTTGTATGTTGCTCTGAGTTAATGGAGTTTAGAAATATATTCAGAAATGATCGTTATTTTTTTACTTAGTGTATTTGTTTCTCATTTTGTTGTTTTTATTGTGTTGTTACTATAGTTCAACTCAAAACAATGTGTTATCACATGATAAGTTCCGAAGGAAAGATTCAGTAACATTGAAATTAAATCTTCAACCTAAATCGATCACTGAAATCAGACAAATTCTACCGTTAGATAAAGGACTTCATAATTAATCCTGTCAATGACACTGGACTCTGGTGGAGTTTGTGTTGCCTGGTCTGCATCATGTTACATAAAAAAACTACTTTTCCCTTTATACTTTGTGTCTTGAGTTTTTCTGTGTTTTATAAGATCAAAGATCATTGATTGTTTGTAACTATGAGCAGATTTATTCAAAATAAAAGTTTTAGAAGTTTTATGTTTGTAAAGAGGCAATAGATACGTTTTACAAAACAACTGAAATGACCATGTTCTTTGATTGAAGGAGATTGTATTACCCATTACACCAACTAGTGATGACTCTAATTTGTTGGCATTATTTTTTTACATTTATAAAAGAAAATACCTTACATGACATCAATTTCTAGCAAGTGTGGAGAAATGTCCACATAATCCAACTCAATTTCAGATGCAAAACATTACATTTGTACATTTTGGTTTTGGACGTTACACCACTGGTAGCATCGCTGCTTCAGCTAGCATCACTACTTCTGGTAGAAGGAATTCAGACTAAAAACTGTAAAAAGATGTAAATGTTTCGAGTTGAATTTGAATGTAGGGGCTTCTGAACACTTGGAGGACAACACATTGTTTTATCTTTTTTCTGTTGTTTTCATACGTCTGAAGAAAGAATCCCCAGTTACTCCAATTGGATTGGATTTGGCTGCAACGCTGTTTACCCATGAAACTCCAAAAGTGTTTTGTGCACACACACACCCATCCCTTTAAACACCGGGGACATTTAGGTTGAAATAAAAAAGCTTCTCCTTGTTTCCAACTCTATATGCCCTGAGTACCTCAGTGGCAACTCTACTCAATATGCACATTCTGGTATTTCTCACTTACACAAGCACAAATACCTTCAGGTCTTCAGCTCGCGTGACCGAGTATTTTGCATCGCTGCGCGCTCCCGTGTCCGCGCTCCCGCGATTTACGAGTCACGTGGTCTGGCGAGAGCCAATTGTTTATTTGCGACAGCGGTTCCAGGCGCGCACCCGTCAGTGGCGGAGACAAGAGGACAGACGGCGGCGGAGACGCGAATAAAACACAAACCAGCGATTCCTGCGAAAAGCGGCGACAGAAAAGCAGCCGACATGTCCGAGGAGAAGCCAAAGGTGAGAGATGGAGGCCGGGGTTCGCGGGGCTGGCTCGGTGGAGCCGCCGCCAGACCTGCGCTCAGATGTGCGGGATAAAATGGCCTGGTTTGCACGTTTCTCTTGAATCGGCGCAGTGTTTGTGTCGCAAAATGAATGAGCAGCCGCACATCGACACTTAACATCCAGGCGAGCGAGCAGCCCACGGCAGGAATAGAGAAGGTTCGATCCCCGTTGAGAGGCATCTCGGAGACCCGTGTGTGCGGAAACGATCAATTACACCGTGATTGTCATTTGCGGATTTTTTTCCTTTGTCGTAACGGGACCACGCTACGTGCGCAACGCAGCAAATGCCGCAACTGCAGCAGCTCCAGATGGCGCTAACGCAGGGTGACGCACTCGTTTTGAAAAAACAAGCCCTTCTTATTTCCTCGCTGTTGTGTTTCCATAAACATGTTCGATTCCCTTCGGTCACAGAGCAGCTAAACAAAGCTGCTAGCATTGTTAGCCGCCGGCTGCTAAACTCTGCTGCGGTCCTGGAGGGCTGGCGTGCCTAACACCTAGCCTGTAGCTAATCATGCTAACGTTAGCATCCGTGACTGCTCGGCAACAAACACGTTCCAACCTGAAATCCTCACGCTGCTTTGTTTTGGTTCATCCGTCTTTAAACTAGCGTCAGCCTGGATCCTTCAGCACACGTCATTGTTGCACTTCGACCTGACCTTTATTTTGAAACGACTGTTAAACTGTGTGTGGCTCTCAGGCTCGTGGTGCCTGGTTGATTTGTCTCCTGGCAGCTCTGCCATTAACCGTATTGTGTCTCGCTGTAAACCTCTTAATGTCATGTTTGTGGTCTGTGTGTGTCTCCTTGGTTAAGCTGCTGGTTTAAACTCTCGTTAATCTTTGCAGGAGGGAGTAAAGACCGAGAACGATCACATCAACCTCAAGGTTGCAGGACAGGATGGGTCGGTGGTCCAGTTCAAAATCAAAAGACACACACCCCTCAGCAAACTAATGAAGGCGTACTGTGAACGACAGGTGAGCCAGAGGCCCGGATCATGACTGCTATTTAAAATGTCCTCCTCCACAGCAACATGTTATTATATTGGACGTGCTTTAATGAACCACTCGTTCTCTTCATCAGCTGGATCACTATTATTATTTTTATTCCCCTCTTACTCCTTCAGGGTCTCTCAATAAGGCAGATCAGGTTCAGGTTTGATGGACAGCCTATCAATGAGACGGATACACCTGCACAGGTAAGATAACATTATATTCTCTTAATCCCTCACATGCTTTGGAGAAGTCTACCCGTCTGTACAGAGCCTTGAATCATTGTCTTATATTGCGTTATGCTATGGTTTTATATCTGCTAACTTGAGCTTCTGTCCCTCTGCTCCTCTCAGCTGGAGATGGAAGATGAAGACACCATAGATGTTTTCCAGCAGCAGACAGGCGGCCACTGCTAAGCCCCCCCATGTCATTGACGGCCACCCTCAGACCACGCCCCCTCAGCCACCTTCACAGTTCCTCCCCTCCTCATCTCTCCTCTCCGCCTATTATTATTATTATATTATTCTAATTATTATTATCATTTCTTCAGTTTCAAGATGTCTGTCATGGTTTTTTGTCAGGTGTGTGTGTTTGGGGGGGCTACTCAGCTGTTTATATACTGTCTAAGCCAGGACTGAACTTTTTGTGCGTGTCAACAGTCGCTCTGCTGGCCAATCAGGACAACACTTTCCGTCTGGCGCCACAGGCTGTGATGTGACCCGCAGCGTGCCACAGCTGTGCCTGGTTTTGTCAATGCTTCTCGTTCACTCTCCAGTGAAAACGTAGTATCCAGTAGTTTGTCACAGTTTTCATCCAGCGGGGTCAAACGTGGGGCTCTGCAGGTTCTGTCTCGGGGTCACAGTCAGTGGGCATGAAAAACGTTTTTGAAGTGGAGGCACTGTCTGAACTTAATACACACCCGCCTTCCATTTCACTTCGCTCTCGTGTTTTTTGTCTGAATGGTGGTGACCCCTGTCAAAATGTATTTTAATTCTCTTCGCCTTTTAGGTGCTTTTGCTAAAGACTTCTGCAATGTTTTTCTATTTTTGATTTTTCTTTTAAGAATTAACCAGGGGGCTTCTTGATGATCATTATTATTTTTTTTCCCTGTAAATAGGTATCAGAGCGGATGTTAGATAAATGTCGTGGGGCTTGGACCAATACTCCAAAGACTGAACTTCTGTTTCATATTTGCTGTACTTGGATCACTATAAAAGCAAACTGCAAGGTTAAGATTTTAAGGGAGTTTGTATTTCATTAATGTCATTCGCTTTTTCTTCGACTGCTAATAATTTAGAAATTTTCTTTGAGCTTATCTGTGGTACAGACTTATTATTCAGTCATGCTTTTAGAGTCAGCTGTCTCATCTCTGTATTGCCCTTGTGAATGTAGGCAGGTGGGACAACTGATTCTACATGTGCTTAGAGGATCGGCCTCCCCTTTGAGCAAAGGTATTTCAACAAAAGTCGGTATGTTATCTGTCACGCATTTCTGAAGAACCTTTTATCTGCTTTGTCAACTGTTGAGAAGATGTTTTGCTGGTGTGCACAAGACAGACGTTGCAGGGCATTTTTATAACTGCAGTTTCTGAAAGCAGTCGAGATGTCTCACGTGGTGATGAATGTCTGGTATTTTGCAGTTAGGAGAAGGATGCATGCTGTTTTTTGCATATCGGGAGGGCATGGATGTCAACCAGTGGAGTTTGGGAGATAAGTGTTCTGTACCCTTGGAGCCCAGTTCTTTGTACATGGATAACTACGTCGGTTTGATTGTTGATGGTCTGACATGAGCTTGGATTTTTCCGTTCGTATTAAAACAGTCAGTCATTCAGCTTAAAACCTGCAAAAAGTACAAGCTTCTTCAGAGGGAGTTGGATCATTTCAACCCTTTTCAGTTTATCAATTTTATTTAATTATTATGTCTTCTCAGATAAACATGCAGGCGATCAGTATTGTTCCAATTGAATGGAGTTAAATATCCAGTTTCTTGGACTGAGGTAATCTATAGGGAGGAAAGAAATGTAATATTTATAAATATTATGTTTTCAATAGTGTTAAATCAAAAGAAATTACAAATGGTTTCTTTACCTTTTAGAATAAGCCATCTATTTCTAAATCAGGAGCCAGTCTTTTTTTTTTCTTCATGGAGTCCACCATGTTCCTATGGTAGCTCAGAATGGACAAAACCAAACACTGGCTCAACCTTTCATGTTCATATGTTACTTAAAGGCCACCGTAGCTTTGCCTGCATGCTTGGAAAGGGAGTGACATTCACTCGGTTTGAGTCCTACATACTAAAAACGCCAACAAAATAAAACCAGTGCGATCTAGGAATACAATCTATTGTGGTTTGGTGCAGTATGATCCAGAGCAAAGGACCATTTAAAGTTAAGTATGTTGTGAACCACTGTTGTGCAGAGATGAATTAAACCCTTATCTTGAAGCAGCAGTGTTTGAGGAGGTGGAACCGGCCCTGTGGATTCCCCTTGTGCTAAAATGTAGTTTGTTGTAGTTCAGCAACACTAGAAAGGTGCTGTAATTTTAAAAAAGTAATTAAACTGTACTCTACATGTTTTACACCTGTTTTTGAGCTGATGTATGAAAATGTGGTTAGGTTTCATGCTATTGCTTTGCTGTTCCACTGCTATCCGCTCATTTGATAACATCACGTGGTGCAGAGACTCTCAGTGGTTACTCCTGCAGACGCCCCTCTGCACGAGCCAATCACAAGTAACGATCGTGGTTTTCAGCTTCCCCCTCTCACAAAATAAGAGCACAGTTATCAAGACAAATTAATCAGCCTTCCGCTTGCATCTGAAGAACCACGTTAGCTGGACAAAAACCTGCTTTTTGAGCCGGCCAACATGAGAGCTAAACTTCAATGTACAAAGAACGGGGTCCAGGTTGTTGTCATGTTATTTGTTTCTCTACTGATTTGTACATTATTTGTGGTCTTTTACTACTGTATACAATAAATATAGTTTGGTACTCAGATTTGCCATCACAAGGGTCATTATTTAGCATGTGTGAATTCTAAAATGTAACTTTTAGCGAATATTAGGATGGCATTAGGATGTGGAGGGAGGTAGAAACTAATGAAGTTGTTAAGCTGTATGAATCTATTAATTTCTATAATGAAAGCACAATGCATCAGCCAATCACCCAAACTCCATATCTTAAGCTTGATCACAGTGTCTATTGTTCAACATGAGTTTTGTGGCTAGAGTTCATGCCTCTACACATTAAGATAAACATTCTGTCCTAAGACTTCATGTGGAGGGAGTGTGGCTCATTACGCAGCATGGGTTCATTTTCCACTGGAGCCATGATTCTAAAAGTCCATGAATGGAAGTGTATTTTGTTACTTAAACAGTAAAAAGGCAACTAGGTGGCGCCACTCAACCATGACAATATGTCTTTATTTGGTTTGACTTTATTTTGTCAATAAAAACCTACATGACACACATACATAAATACCTGCCCCACAGAAATGTAGAACCACGCACACAAGGGTTTGTGCAGCTTTTCTTATTAGGAATTTGCATGAACTTCATTGTGGATAGCCTAACCAAAACCTTACTCATGACCAATTAATTTCTAACCCTGAACTTAACCTAACCATGATTCACATCTTACGCCTAACCTAAGAAAAACACACACACACACACACACATACACACCTATGATAAAGATAAAAAGATTACAAAACAAAGAATTACACATAAACATGAAGTGTGATGCAGGAAAAAGAAACCTGAATAAAAGATTTCAAAAAAGACAAGAAGTTATCACTAAAATGAATGAAGCAGGTTTAAATCAAAGTTGATATCAAATATATCAAAGAATGATTATTATTATCTAACAGTATTAACTTCCAGGATGTCCTGTATCACCTGAGGATGGATGAGGAACCTGAGATCTGATCTGAAGGGAACAGTTGCATTCAGATTAATGGCGGCAGATGATTCAAACCAGGAATAAGGAAAATCACGCACACGAGTGGATGATTAACTTTACTGCATTGAAACTACAACACCCACATGGGTGCCATGCCTGGAAGGAAGAGAGATTGATGGCTGGATAGAGGAAATTCAGGGCAGGGCAGTATTGGTATCTTGTGTCCTGATCTAGGTGTAGTCTATGATCTTAATGTGGGTGAGAGGAAGAGACGCTGAATGCATTTGCCTTGTAAATGAGCCGGTCGGTGGATGAGAGGATTCTGAGAGATCTGACACAAGCTTCTCACAACACAGAGCGATTATTGAAGGAGTGCCTAGTAACCATCAAAACAAGGTCGAATTGTTGTTCCTACTATTAAATTGTGTGTGACCATTGACAATTATAACTTTGTGAGTTAGAGAACTTATTTACCCCAAAAAACTACTTTTATTTAAAGTCATTTTCTCTTTCCTGTGGCTGATATGCTCCAATCTGAGCAGGTTAAAGTAATGCTACTATTTGCAAATACTTTTTGGGCTGAGGCACTGGAGGAGCTCCAACCCTCTGGCAGTTCTGTGTCATCAGAGGCGGTTGTGGGAGGATGAGTGACAGGCTGCTCAGAGATTTGCATGGCCCCGGCGTGTTTAAAAGGAGCTGCAGGTGCAGGATTCTCCACACAGATGAATGGATTCCTCTCCCAGCACAGGACCTCAGCTGCTACTATTTATGAATCTCAGGTTGCAGGCGTAGCTTTGATGAGTTCCAGGACATTCAACTGGACATTTTTCTTTGGAGAGATCTGATCAAATTCATTTGGACCAATATGAAGAAAACACAATGGTCTGACATGTTTTGTCACTTTAGATAAAGAAAAAAAACAAATATACTGAACATGGAGACAGTCGCACCAGCTGGCAACTGAACCAAACCGGTTTTTTGTGATGTCATCGCTGATATTTCTGCAGCTCCTTCTCTTGGGGTTAAGGGTCATCAACGCCACCACAGACACATGGAGACACTGTACAGGTATTATATCATTTTGTTCTGTTTTATTTTTACCTATTACCTCAGCACGTTCCCAAACATTTGATGCTCGCCTAATGATTATTCGGTGAGTAGTTCTAGGTTTAATCTGAAAATCTGGGAAACCCCTCCAGCTAAAATTCTTTCGGATAATTCCAACTGTCTGTATCTGCTTACAGTACAGTGGGAGTGTTTGTGCGTGCAGTATTGCGTGCAATATTAACTTAAATTAATATCCACAAACAAGTTCAGACACTGGATGTGGTTAGGATTCCGCAGCAATTCCATGCACATCACAATGTCGGGACGAGCACTTGGCGTGTTCATGTGACGTCTCCTCCAATGTTGGAGCTGCCCAATAAATGTCTTTCTTTTAATAGCTAAAAAGGTCCTACAGCTCCACCGCCACCCAGGGCTATTTCTCTCACGCAGCATGGAAAAAGATTCTTTACCTCTTAATACTACACTGTAAAATACTCCATAAAAAGTCCCACTTTGAAAAGGTTACTGGAGTAGAAGTATGTAAGTGTAGACAGAAAAATGCACATGTATTAAAAGTACTCACTTGCAAAAAAAGGTCACAAAACTTGATTTATGGTCTAAACCTCTTAATTACTATAATTGAATTACAATTAGAAGGTAGGGCAGTCAGTAGTCATATTTGAAAACCTGGAGCCATGGAATATTTGCAAGAAAAATCATCAAAATTGTTGCCAGTTTATGTGTGTCACTCAATCTGCTTGTATACACTGTTAGGTGGCTTACTTATACAGTATGTACATTACTATAACATCATTTATATTCACATTTTTGGTCCACAAGAATCTTAATTTGTTAAGTAGAAAGTCACTGAAGCCATTAAATAACTGCAGTGGAATAAAAACTATATAATTTCCCTCTGAAACATTATCAAGTAAAAGTTTGAAGTAGCATGAAAAGAAAATATATGCAAGGTTTTTAGAAACCTGGATGAGTCTAACTACAAAAGAAGAGCACCAGTAAGATAAGTCTGAAAAATGAACATAATTTGTTGTGGAATATAAACCTTTATAATTCTTCACTATCCTGTTAATCATCTCAGGATACTCACATTTATTTTGTGACCTCTTTAGGGGGTCCAAACCCCCAGGTTAGGAACCACTGATTTATAACACAGTAGTTTCTTCATGAATAGGTTGAAGCAGTAAAACATCTTTTCTTCATGAGCTCTTTATTTCCTTATTGTTTGCAGATTTGCTCCCTCTGGATCTTCTGTCTTTTGTCCTGGAGAGGGACACCTCCAGACTCATGCCCGGGGTGCACATTAAGCAGGCCGGAGGGGTGAGGGGGGTACATTTCTCCAGCCCTCATTCCTCCATGAGCTTTCCCTCCTCCCAGGTGCTGGCAAACTGTGACCTCTTCCCAAAGGACTTCTCCATTGTTGTAACTCTAAAAGTCCCACACATTGCACAAAAGGTGAGAAGTAGTACTCAGATCCTTCACAATGTTTTCTAAAGTACAGAAATAACAAAAGCACAGTAATTAAAGTGAATTTTGCAACAGAGTAGTGTTTAAGGTAGGTAAGAACACGTAGATAATCATTACAGATTTTTGAACTGATATTCTGAAAAGTAACTTTAACAATCAATAGCCGTCAAAGGTTTACTAATTAAATGTATATAAACTGCAAGTTCAGTAGTATGAGTGCGTTTATCAAATATTTTCATTATTGATTATTTCTTTTATAAGTTAATTGATTATTCATTCAGTCCATAAAGATAAAAATAAGTGTTTTGTTTTACAAAATAACCAAATACATGAATCAATTATCAAATATTTCCCAATTAACAAGGAATCTACAATATACTTTGTTACTTTTTAATTCAGAAGAATGCAATATGTTTGAATGATTTTCCGTATTTGTTTCTTATAGAGAAATGAGTACATCTTTTCCATGGTGATGCCAAAACCAGAAGAGAAAAGAGCAGTGGGGGAGAAGGAGAACATTTTGGAAAGTACTAATAAGAGGAGTATCAGGGAAGATGGAGAGAAAAAGAAGAAGAGGAAAGCTGAGAGGCAATTCCAAAGTAATGAGGAACATGGACGGATTATCTTGGGACTGAGGCTTTCAAAAAAATGCCTGCACTTCCTCTTTAAAGGTCACGGAGGGGTCATGGAGCACTGGGTGTTTCAGGGCACCAAACTGGCTGATAACCAGTGGCACACTCTGGTTTTAACTGTTTCTGGTCAACACGTGAGGCTCTCGGTGGACTGTAACTCGCCACTGGAAATGTAAGTTACGTTGATGTTTTGTTCCTCCTGAGCGATTCTGTCTGATTTCTGTCTGCCTCCCGCCATCCTCTCTCCCTGTACCATCCCAACCCCCTTGAGGGATAGTAGATCCGTCACCACAATACAATGGCACTGCTCCAAATCTGCTCACACCCCGCAGCCACATCATAGTGGCCTGACAGTGTGTGATGGATGGTTTTAAGTGGAAACTCCCTCCGGCACAGTAAAGGGAGGAATATCAGCACCCAGACTCAGTGCTCACCTGATTCACCCACAGTTCGTTCCTCATATTTTCCTGTTGACTAAAAACAGAAAAATAGAGGAGACAAATTAAATTACCCAGATTTTATGCTCATTTACAAAAGGAAAAGGAACTTACAACGTCAGGTATTTAAAAAATGATTATCTCCTTTCATGGCAAACAGCGTTCCCACCAGGCCTTTCCCCTCAGACGTCAACATTCAGGGATCCGGATTCCACATCGGCAGCCGGGGAAGATGGAAAGGCTTGTTTTCAGTAAGATTTCCATTTCCTCACATTACTAACTTTAATGGGGCGCATGAGAAATAAGCTTTAAATAATTTCAAACGACACGATTAATACATTTTCCCAATCATTTCCTTACGATCTGCTGTCAGGGTTTGTTAAGACAGCTGGTTTTGATACCAGGTTCGGACGCCACCAATCAGATATGCCCATCTTCCGACCCCCAGCTCGCAACTCTGTCAGTACCACCTCTCCTCTTAGACCTGCCCATCACGAAGAGGGAGAGAGACAGCCACCTGACTTCCTATGGTAACTTTTACAAGGCAGTTACAAGATTTATGTCCCTCCTGTTTCCGTCCTCCTCCTTAACTGTCTGCTGGTTGTGCTCAGACACGGAGGAGCGAGTGTCAGTGGGTTTGGAGCGTTCGTGCTCAGAGATGCTGCAAGGTCAGCTGTGGTTCAATCCAATCAAGAAAGGCCTGTACCTCTGCGACGGCACCACGTGGGTCACTGTGCTGGAGGGTGAGAATCACAAATCGACTGACAACAGAACTTTTCTTCTCAGTTTGTGTTGAAAACTGATGAAAGTCTCACCTCTACGTGTTCACAGATCATAAAAGGCTGGACTACGTGTTGGAACATCAAGTCCTGACCACCAGCTCAGAAACGCATGATATAGAGGTATTCATCCGCTTGTTGAAAAAGGAATATTTGTGGTGACTGCTCTGTGGCTGTGCCTGTCATCCACTAACCACAGGTTGATGGTTCAATCCCTGGCTCCTATAGTCTGAATGCCAAAGTGTCATTGGGAAAGAGATTTAACCCCCAAATCCCCTGATGGTTGAGCTAGCAGTGTATGAATGAATGTGATAGAAGAAGCTCTGTGTATAGAAGTGCTATATGAATGTGTGTTCATTCCTGAAATTGACCTAGGCAATATTATTATCCGGCAATATATTGTTGCAGTTCCACTTAAGGGTGATTTCTGTTTATAATATTGTATCGTCAGGATTTTCACCCTCCGTCTATACAATTTGGCCATCGTGTTTAGGTCTTCCGGGTACCTGGCATCGGTCTGATGGCTGCCATGGCTCAACGCTCCAAAGCTTCTGGCTCTGCTGTGTATCTGTGGACCAACTCAGGATTCAAAGTCTACCAGAATATCTCCACACATGAAGCCCTAGCCTGGAGACACTTCAACATAGGAAAAAAAGTATGCCAAAAAGGAAGTCAAAAAATATTAGAGGTCACAGTTTAGCATATTATAAGCTTTGACCTAATATTTCCTCTGTTTTATTGTTTGGTGTAGATATTTTTGGTGGTGTCTAACTCTGGCGAAAGGTTTGACAAAGAGTCTGGGACTGACTTTTCTGTGATTTACAAGTGGAGCAAGAAAAGAAAACAGTTTGTGCGGTTCCAGTCTCTGCAGACCTATTGTGCCCGAGACTGGGAGGCTTTTACCATCAAGCAACAGACCTATCTCGCTGTGGCCAATCATAGACAAGGTAAAAACCAATCAATCATATGATTGAACTCGATAAGGGTTACAGAACCCCTGCATCAAACCTGTATAAAATATTAAAATTGAAATAATTACTCTTTCTGATTTGTCTTGAAGGGAACAATAATCACACTATTGACAGTGTGATATACAAGTGGAACAGGTTAACAAAGTCTTTTGAGGTTCACCAGACGCTGGCGACCTCAGGGGCCTATGACTGGGAGTTCTTCACCGTTGGACCGTACCATTTCCTGGTGGTCGCAAATGCTTTTGATGGAGTGACCACATCTGTAGACTCTGTCATCTACGTTTGGGTCAATGGACGCTTCCAGGTGTTCCAGACTATTAAGGTATGTTGTGAACATACTGTATAAGTCAAAAAACCTTTTTAAAACTTTAATTATTCAGCTGTTGGGTACTATACCATACTACAGGGTAAACTTGGCAGGTGTTCAAGCGTCTGTGTAAATTTATGTTAGTAGCACTTTGATGCAAGATGCAGCATGGTTTCCATACAAGTCTTTGTCTGAGCAGCTGGGCTTTGACGAGATCAGTATCTTTGAGATCAGTGTGAAAACTCACCTGTACACAAAGAAGGAAGTGATTACAAACAGGGAGAGAGATAAATGGGAAAAGAGATGGGGGAGCAAGAAGTGCCAAAAATAGAGCCTGTGGTTTGCCATGATTTGCTTCAGTGATAGCAGTGCTTTGACATGTAACTGATAGAGAATCCTATATTTAAATCTAGCCACATTTGAGGTGTGGGCGTTGACACATTGATAGTCACATGAGAAGCCATAGGGAGGTGCGTGATTAAGGGAAACTCCACAGCTGCATTTGAGGGCTCCCGAGAGCACCCTGGGGCAAGTGAAAATAATCACCTGAAATTATCAAATGAGAGAGAAAACATAATAATGACACCTTTTAAACATGTTTACTGCGTGGATGAAATGGTTAATTCATTCACCACTTATGTTTGGACTGAAATATCTCAATAACTAATAAATCAATTACTATCAAATTGTATAAAGGCATGCATGGTCCCCAGAAGAGGAAGGCTACTGACTTTCCTGGTTCTTTTCACTTATCCAGTGTAATATCTTTCACAAATTTGAGCTGATCTTTTTAGTTCTCAGATGTTTCAATGACTTTGATGATCCTCAGACTCTTTTTCCACCAGAAGTTTGTGCTTTTGACAGTTTGTTTTCTTTCCTATGTTCAAACTAGACGTTCTGCGCCACAGACTGGGAAATGTTTCAGATTGGCAGCAGATTCTTCCTGGTGGTTGCCAATGGACACAGACTCCATGGTAACGAACCAAGTCAATATGCCATCAACTCCACCATCTATGAACTGGACATGAATGGACAGCTGTTTGTCCGCTTCCAGGATATTATCACCTATAGGTACATATCTGCAAGCATTTTATGTATACTATATATAAAGATGGACAACGTGTCTCCACTTCCTGACATGTACCAAAATGAAGCCAAAATTCAATGTGTATTTTTGACCTTTTAGTTCGATCCATGTCCCATCTGCTAACATGGAGGTGTATGTCCATCTTTATATACATTCTGTGAGACACACAGCTTATTACCTTTCCTGCCATATCTCCTATACTTGCAATAACCACATACCATCCTGTCTCTCCAGTGCTGTGGACTGGGAATTCTTCAGCCTCGGGGAGGAACACTTTCTGATTGTGGCTAACTCCTTTAATGGAGAATCCTACTCCCTGAACAGCGTTCTCTACAGGTAGTCAACTTGCCAACATCACTCCTCCTACTGTTAAATAGTTGACCCAAATTGATCGGCCTCTAATTTCGAGCTGAAATCATCTGGAGGACATACACTGTTGTAATGCAGATTTATTTCCTACCTGTGAACCAGACAGATGAAAGCATACCAGCACTTTTGACACGAGATGATTCTCTAGGAATGAAGAAATGGCCCACAGCTATTTTTTGAACAATTGTTGAGCAGATTCAAATACACAGTTGATTTAATTCTACTTCTCTGTTTGAATTTTAGATGGCAGGGATATGAAGGCTTTGTTCCTGTTCATTGGCTCCCAACCATCGGGTGCAGTGACTGGGAGTTTTTCAGCTCCAAGGGAGAATCATATCTGATCTACTCCAGTGCCAAAGAACCTCTTTCTAAAGTGTTCAAGCTGAAAACCTTTTAGTCTTTGTGTGTGTCTATTTGTGTGTGTGTACATACTATATCCTTTTGTGTCTGTGTTCCTGTGTGAGAAATAATTTGCATACATGGTTGCAACACCTTTGTGTCTGTCCAATACTGCTTCTGTGCACAATTTCTGGCGCAGCCTCGATTACATACTGTACAATCAGGGGCTATATAGCAATCATTAAGTCCAATTTTTTTTATGGTGGGTTTTGAAGAATGATTCTGATATTTCGTAGTATAAATGTCTTTAAATTAGATGGTTTTAGAGGAACATTACATCAAATCCACATAGGATTAAGTGTCTTTACATCCTTGTAGCGTGAAAAACTGCATTGACCATCATTTATTTATCATCATAACATTTACAGAAACCAAAAATAACAACAGAAAAACAAAAAATGAAAGGAAAAAGGATGACTATTCCAGGGATTTAGCTGAGGGTTTTTGGTAAAACAATCAACCCTGCATTCACTTACCCTGCAACAAGGCTAGGTCAACAACTAAAGTACCTCATTTTAAAACAAATATAGTGCGTGCAAGATGTCTAGGAGAACATGTATATTTGTGTGTATTTTCTGAAAGAAATACACACTGCAACTCAAGAAAACCTATAAGAATTCGTATATTTCTGTCAAAGCATTTTAAATTAAAATATATTTAAACATTTTCTTTATCAGCTGGAATGTGTTCTCTCAAAGAAAATTAGACTGACATTGTTTTTTATGTGTATTTGTGTTTAAAAGTAAATTATTGACATGACAATAAACCATTTTTATAATGGAGTTGTTTACGCATTTGTTAACCTCTTAGCTATGTTCAGTCGAAGCATGTGGGGGTGGAAATGAGAGTATCAAACACACCCTGTGGTGCACACCTTTTCATTCCAAGTTCTTTCGCGGCTAATCGGATACCTGGTGAGGTCTCTGATTGGTATGCAATCCCTCAATCATGGCCCTGGGCACATAGCTGCCAACCTCTTTAAAGTGTGGCATCTGTAAATCAAGTTTGGTGCAATGGGACTACAAATTCCATGGTCCTTGTGTAATACAAATTGAATTGTGCGAAGTGCAGTTTTTGTTGCTAAAACTAATGTTGCTGCAAAGAGTTGTAGTTAAAAATGTGATACCACAAGTATCACCAAGTTAATGTTAAAATTAAGATGGCTGCATCATAAAGACAGAAACACAGAACAACACAACATTGTTCTAATATATTTTTTAGTACTGACCAGGCAATGTTAAAAGAAAATACATTCAGTGCAAGTTCACCGAGTGTGAAACTACAAGTACCACAATGCATCAGTACAGGACGAAACATGGCTGCTGGGAAACATGGGTAAATGTAGTTTGTGCAGCCAAGTTCATGTTAAAATTAAAATGGCTGCATCGTAAAGAGAGAAACACAGAAAGAAAAATACAACAAAAAAATACAATATTTATTTTGAGGTAATGTTTAAAGATTTTAGGTTGTGTTGATTTTAAGCGAGTATGTTAACCCAGTGTGAAACTACAAGTACCATAATGCATCAGTGCGTTCTCTGGCTGGAAGAAACATGGCTGCTCACTGTCCAACGACGGTCTTGTTATTTACGTTTCGTTTCTTATCAGGAGTCAGACACACAGAGGAGAACGAGCCAGTGTCAGGGGCCATTTGGAATAAAATATAATCCAGGGTTCGGTTTAAAGTGTTTCTTTCCTCCATCAGTACGGACTCAGACCGTTAATGTTACCGACAGCGTGATTTTTTTTCCGGTCCAGCTGCTCGTCAGTGTCCTGCCATTGATTTAGCTTCGGTTAGCGTGGTGAGCTAGCTACCTGCGAGGCTAACGCGCATAGCATCCAGTCACAGTCGCTATGTTCAGCCCCGTGAAGTCTTCTTGCTTCAGAGTCAGCCCGGCCACTGTCAACAGGGAGCTCGGTAAGACCAAGATGAGATAGCAAGAGGTGTCCGAGGGATAACACGCGGTTCACTGCGAGGATCCGAGTCCCCGCAGAACTATACAGTCAGATTATAAACACAGAAACCCACCCGGCATGTTCGGGAACCTGTTCGAGGAAGAGGAGGAGGGAGGCTCCTCAGGCACCCACCTTCCACCAAAGGGGGGAGACGAGCCGCCACCCGCCCGAGGAAGGAGCGACCTGTGCGGCATCAAGAACCAGGGAGGGACGTGCTACCTGAACTCTCTGCTCCAGACCCTGCTGTTCACCCCCGAGTTCAGAGGTCAGGCCGGGGGGGAGCTTCCTCTCATCCACCGTGTCTCACCGCAGCACATCACACCGTTGATTCGGTTTACTTACGCATTGTTTGGTTTCTACCTTTGCAGAGGAGCTGTTCAGTTTGGGGCCAGATGAGTTAGGATGCCTGGAGGACAAAGACAAACCAGGGGCCAAAGTAAGAACCGCAAGGTGCCTGTAGAGATGAGATGAGATAAAATAATCCTTTACTAGTCCCTCAACAGTGTTGCAGCAGCAAAGAAGTAGAAACATAGACATTGCTTAAAGTAGTAGAATGTAAACATGCAATATGAATACAGGAAAAATAGAAATACTATGTCAGCAGAACTTATACAGTGTGAGCTGACGTAATACTGATGTGTTGTTCTCCACAGGTCAGATTGATCCCACTGGAGCTGCAGAGACTGTTCGCCCGTCTGTTGTTGGTGGACCAGCAGAGCGCCTCCACCGCCGACCTCACCGACAGCTTTGGCTGGAACAGCAGCGAGGTCCGTTCCCGTTGTTTGTTTGTCTTTGGTCAGTGAGAAAGAGAGTGACTCAGGTTACGCTTCTCCTTTCGCTGACTCATTGACCTTCAGGAAGATAGAAACTCACTGGAATTCACTCATCTGAATTCCAGACTTACTCATGAGTTGTCATGCCAGCAGCCTGATAGATATTCAGTTTTTGTCTTGAGGCAGTTCAGCTGTAGTCATGCACAATAAACACATGAGGAGGGAGAAAAAGAAACAGACACAGACACAAAGTGTAACTTGAGTGTGAGAGTGATAAAAAGAAATTAAAATGTTTAAATCTGCCATGTGTCAATGATGGTTTCACAGAAAAGAGTGACATGCTGTGTCCCAGTCCCTGACTACAAGCCAGTCTTACAGAGATTTAAAAGAATATATTGTGATAAGTTGACAGAAATAAGAACACTCAATGAGGAAAGAACATGCTTTCTGAGCCCACTTTGTATTTGAGTGATCTATACATTAGTTCTGCAGCGGGTTACTGAGAAGAAATTAGGAAGCTACTTACTCCTTAAAAAACAAGCATACAGTTATTATAGAACACATAAATTTAAACATTAAATCTGCAGAGAACCATTCAACTTTTTATATGAAGTTTGATGATCTGTGGTGTCTTGTACAGTGACATGCATTGATTCCTTCTTTAATATCTACAGATACAGAAAAGGGTTATGTTATACACCGAAATGTTTTTCTCTCCTGAGTTTGATCCTTTTTTATTTCTGCTGTCGTCGTCTTTCAGGGCACAAATCAACATGATGTGCAGGAGCTGAACAGAATCCTGTTCAGTGCTTTGGAGCACTCTCTTGTGGGAACCAGTGGTAGTACATTCATTCACCGGCTCTACCACGGGACTATTGTCAACAGCATTGTCTGCAAGGAGTGTGGAAACGTCAGCCAGAGACAGGTGTGTCCACGTGTGCATGGATCATCTGTCCCTCTGCCCTGGCTCCATTTTAGATATATACTTTATTTAGATTGATGTCAAACACAACAGGAGATAATGTTGTAGAATAAATCTCACCACTAAATTCTAAGACTGATTTGTAATCAACCCAGTTGTTGTGTCATTTTCATTCGCGTCTTCTTCAGGAGGACTTTCTGGACCTGACGGTGTGTGTAAGCGGCGTGTTGAGCCTGGAGGAGGCTTTGTGGAACATGTTTGTGGAGGAGGAGTTGTTTGAGGGTAATAACCTGTACCGCTGTGCAAAGTGCGACAGGCTGGTCACAGCTGCTAAGGTCAGTTACAGCTTTCACATTGTGTTAACACAATAGCAAAGGTTATAATAAACTACAGAAAGAATAAAGTTGCTCTTTTCCCACTTTCTCCTTTTGAGCAAGTTTTATCTTAGTACTGATCAAATGAGCAAATCTCTCTTGTTAACATAAAAAATATTTCTTTCTTACCTTAATGTCTTTATCCATTTTGTTATTATTCAGTCTGCGAAGCTGCAGAAGCTTCCGCCATTCTTGACAATGTCTTTGCTGAGATTCAGCTTCGACTTTGCCAAATGTGAGAGATACAAGGAGACAGGACGCTACAGCTTCCCCTTCACCTTCAACCTGCGGCCATTTTGTGAGCAGGTACCTGAGAGTTTTTTACTCTCTAAACTCATTGGTGTTCAGATTAGGCACATTTAACTTAACCTTTTTTTCTTTAATGTTTCTAGTGATTCAAGAATTGTCTCCCTTCTGTCTGTCAATGTTCTTAACATTTCTTGGGAAATTTCTTGTTACATAAAATCTAACATATTTTTGGTGCTGATATCTACGTGTAGGGATTTTTGATATGAAGATATATTATATGATAATGGAAAAACAGATATGAATTGTTTGTCCTTGGCAGAAGTATGCACTCCACTGAGTGCCATTTTAGTTATTGTTTTGTTCAGTTTTCAGGCTTAAATTTAATTCCATCTTTGTCATGTGTTTCTCTCTAACAGACTAACGGAGACGACTCGGATTACACCTATGACCTGTTCTCTGTGATTATCCATAAGGGTGGCTGTTATGGTGGCCATTACCATGTTTATATCAGGGACATTGACCAGCTCGGGCGATGGGAGCCTCCGGTGAGATAAGCTGTGGCTATAACTTCTTATTCCCCATAAATTTACTATTAAAATCACCTATTTGCTCATAAGCATTGTGGTGGAATTTCTGTAAGAATTTTTTTTAATTATGAGGAAAAAAACGACAAGCTTTTGAATGTGTGCGTGTTAGGAAACATCTCGGTTTTTTTCAGGAGGAGGACTGCAAACCTAAAACTCAGAGGAAAGTCAAGGAGGTGGTCAATGAAGCGTTTGAGCCCAAACTACAAGAAGACGACCCTCTGTCTGTCCTAACCTCTATAATATCCCAGGTGCTGCAACGACAACTCCCAAGACATTCTTTTGCTGAATTTCATCTAGGTTTTATTTTGTATAGAGTCAGTGATGCAGGAAACATTGATTATTTGCCGCTGTTCATTTCCTGTCTACTAGGATCCATCAAAGACTGTCCTGGTGGACCAACTGGGCCAGAAACTCATGCAAAAGATCGGTTCGTCTTGGAGTAAAAGGTTCAGAAAACACTATGGTCCCATAGGAAAGGTACATTTGTTTTTCGGTTGCTGGTGTATTTTCAGGCTTACATCAGTTTGTTTTTTCAAAATGTTCTTGTTTTTCTGTGCACAAACCCCACTTTCTTTTATGTTTCCTCCTCGGATGCAGTTCCTGCAGTCCCAGAGTGATGTGTTCATGTTGGTTTCCAACGGCACCAGAGTAGCACTTAAGACAAACCTGCCAAGCCCGGTGACTGAGCCTCAGATCCCAACAGAGCCGACCACTAACTCTGATCCTCCTACAGCTTCAGACCTGGGAGCTGCTGAACAACAGCAAGGATCGAACCAGAAGCCAGAAGCTGAACCAGAGGTATAACTGCAAATAGTTTTTTATTGTAAAGATACTATGTAGATCCTGTGAAAATATCAACATGCACACAGCCTTACAACTTAAAATGAGCCATCAGGATATTCATATATCAATTCACTTTTTCAAGTATAGAAATATTAGAGACCAGTGGATAATATATATGAATTTTTAAGCACCAGGGTATTTTAGTCTTAGACCACAAATATCTCTTCCAGTGGTTATAAAAACATCAAATACAAAACTGGAAATGTGTAAAATATGTGTAATATTCCATTAAAATGACATTTATCCAGTGTGACCGGTTTTGAAATACTTTTTCCTCGTGGACATCTTGTGATTACTTTGACGCTTGTTTCTCACGGTGTATCTTCCTGTCAGCAGGGTAGCCACTGGTTTGACCTTAACGACTCAACGGTGACCTCCATCAGGGAGTCTGACATAGAGAAGCAGTTCCAGGGCAAAGAGAGTGCGTACATGCTGTTCTACAGGAAAACACAGCTGCAGAGGCCCAGTGAAGGTAATGGACACCATGTTCTTTATTTGTAATTGAAAGATGATATCTGACCTGTTGGTTGAGGGAGTTCATGTTGAGAAATAAGGATCAATTAATGAATAGTTGTCATGAATAGATTTGGGATTTGTCGCATAAATGAAAAATGAAGTAATAAGATGTGTGAAATATGTATACTCACAATGTTGTTGTTTTTTTTATCAAGCTCTGAACAATCCACAATATAAAGTTCCTGTCCACCTCGTCCAGATGGCTCAGGAGGAGAACATCAAACTGCGAGGAATGCGGTACAAAAACAACTACATGTTCACAATCAATTGAGGATTCATTGGTATCTTAGTCTACGAAAATGTGTATAAACATTTGCTCGTTGCAAAAAGACTGAAATGAATCAACACTGTTTCTGTCACAGCGAGAAGTTTGAAGCCACCAACAACACAGTGGAGCTTCATCTGCACCTGGCCCCCTGTTACAGACTAGATAATGGAGCCCTGCAACCAGCCGACAAAGAACACAATGGAGGCACCGACCTCAGCTTCGACCGCAGAAAGACTGTAGGAGACCTGCGATTGGCTATTTACCAGGTAACCCCCCCACCCTCAAAATTCACTGTTTGTCATGTTTTAGATCAAGAAGCGAATAGCAGAAATAAGTTGTGTCGCATGTGCGGATTTGTTTGGTCAGATGCAGGAACTCTGGGAAGGAGACATGGCTTTGACTGTGGCCAAGAGTCTTCCAGCAGGTTTACACCTCTACAATACTCTCACAGGTGAGACATTCAGAAAAATATGTTAAAGGCTCATTTCTGTTGCCTCTACATTGAAAAGAGACCATGTATCCATCACTGTTCACGTACTTTCACACATCCTGTACGTTTGAAAGGTTGTTAAGCCGTACAAAGTTGAGTTTTTGACTATAACGGCGAAGATTGAGAAGGTTTTGAAAGAGGTAAAAGCAGCCATTTTGCAAACGGCAATGATCCAAAGAACTCTTTCTACTTCCTCGTGTCCTTTTGTTGTCTCGCTTTTCGCTACACTGCCCCCCCCCAAGATTGTTTAAGACGTGCACAAATATGGACAAAATGAGAAAGGACAGAAGGCTCTGGCCATTGCTGTTGCATTGAGCATGAATGAGCCTTAAGAAGACTGTCAAACGTCACATTTTGTAAACCTCTGTGATATCATTCTGGTTGTGTTTCTCTTTTCAGATGACAACGTCTCCCTGTACAGTGCAGGCATTTACACCAACTCTGACTTGTTTGTGTGGAACGGCAGAGAGGTGAAGAAAACCGCACTTCATCACAAACCTGCTCCGAACTCAAGATCCAAACAAACTCATGATTGTACTGTTTTAATCTCTTCAGGTGTGTGGCGCCACGATCCTAACTGGAGCTGAGTGGGAGCCCGTGCTCCTGACTGTAGTCCGTCCCTTTGTGGATGAAGACGTGGAGCAGGAAGAGAGGGATGGGGAGGAATACAAGGAGAACGGAGGTGGTTTTGAAAATGGGGGACCAGGACTTAAGAGGGAGGCGAGAGGGTTTGCGGGTGGCGTGACACTCTGTGAGGTAAAGGAGGCGCTGGGGGAGCCTAAGGAGAGTGTGCTGTGCCAGGAGCATAAGGGAGGAAAGAGAGGAGAACAGGGAGGAGGGGCAAGTGGGTGGAGGGTGTTCCCACCCGACGACATGCAGCGGACGCTGAAGGAGCTGTCACTCAAAGACGGAGACGCCCTGTTGGTGCTGGAGCCACAGTCGTTTGACAGCAGGTAAAATCCTCAGCAATCTGTGTTTGTGTCTTTATACTTGTGTTTATTACAGCTGCCTTCTTATCTTTGTTTAGTGTGTTTACCCTAAATGGAGATGTTGTCACTGTGACTACACCGTCTGACTGCCGCTGGCTGCAGGTGGAGTTTCAACCTCATGGAGGAGGAGGAGGAGGAGGTGAAGGGGAGGGTGAGGAGAGGAGGAAAATTAAGGTTCCAGCTACAGGAAATATGGTGAGTCCTTTTAGTGCGTCTGTATTTTTGCTCTGTCTTGTTGCATCTTCTTAGTCTTGTTTAATGTGTCTCGCTTCCAGCTGCTGGGCGAGGTGAAACAAAGGGCCATGGAGGAGCTGCAGCTTCAGCAGAAGTCCCCAGGCAAGACGCTCAGGACGCTATTAAACATAACTACACATGACTGCAAGGGATTCCCTTACAACTCCCCCCCTCCATTATTAGTCAGGCTCTGTTTACATAACGTAGAAGCACATGAACGTACGTCAAAGAAGCTTAGATGTCGGTACATCAAAGCTTCTCGAATTAATCCAATTCATGTACATTATATAAAGCTGCTCTCAGACATACACTGAACTGTGGATAGTCTCCTGTAATTATCTGCAGGGGCTCGATGTCAGAACACAAATGTCTGAGTCGGTTGCTCTCAACATTCTGTGGAGTTTCTGTTGCCAGCCCCCGAATAAGACTCTGAATAATGTCGGAGTTAAGTGAGAATACAAGAGGAGATTATCCAGATAATTCACCACAATTGGTGATTCAAGCCGACGCTGGTTTCGATGTGCTGTTAAGAAAGACATGACATCCCCACAGCTTGTTAATGCGTCTAAATGGAGAATGTCCTGCTGCATATGTGGGAGACAAAATCTTGGCCCCATTGTCTGGAGTTCATGTCTGAAAATGGCTTAAGATGTGTTGTAAAAGTCTTTACGTTCTTATATTTTAACCAGTGAATATTATTGAGTTAATCACAAAAGCAAAACCATGATGAGATGTCCTTTTTTTTAAATTAATATTTTTATATGTTTACGTTCTTAATTCCAGTTCTGTTGTTTCTCTCTCACTGACCAGGTGCTCAGTTCTGTCTGAGACAGGTGGACTGCACAGGGAAACTCCTTCCTCCAGGTACTCTGTCATTTCTAACCTGGGGGTGCACATCAGTTACAGCTGGAAATCCCCCTCAGTTCATCAGAAATATTAAGATACACATTCCTTTACTCTGCCCCCTTGTTCATTTCATTAAGGAACCATCCCTGTGTGTAATCTTATCATCTGTGTCTGAAGTTGTAGCAAACATTTACTGAAGTGCACTTATCTAACTCTGGTTTCTCGGGCAGTGTGCGAGGAGCTGAGCGTACGTGATGCAGGCGTGCGCCTCATGACCACACTGACTCTCTGTCCGGGAAATGCCCCCAAGGCATCGCAGGTGTGTCTTTTCATTTGACATCTTCAATAAATCCCTTTGTGTTCGCAGCTGCACAAGTGAAAGTCCCGGAACATTCACCAGTACAGTGTCTTATAATGTGTTTCAAAACAAATCCTGAAGAATTATGAGATTTTAAATGCTTGATTGATCTTTCCCTCTGGGTTGCAGCTGTTTTTGCATTTCTCTGTGGGAGCAGCGCCCTCTACTGGCATGGAGATGGACATAATTGTGGAGGAAACTTACACAGTCAAAGAGGTGAGGGGAAAAAAATTGACGTATTTTCAGCAAGTTTCAAGCTGTTTACATCGCCTGTGTGTTGTTTGTGTAAATCAACTTCTATTTAATCTTGTTACTTGCAGTGTCTCAAGTCAATGCTGGACGCTGTGGGACTCGATGGTAAACCTTCACTTGCTGTAGAGGAAGATTACAATTTTTTACATCATTTTTTCATATCTGGTTGGTTGATGTCAGTCTAATGTGTGCGTGCAGGAACCTGTTGGCACTTGAGGAGGCTCGATTGGTGTGAAGAGGTTGGAGAGCCACTTATGGATGAGGTGAGTGACTGAGTGCAGATTAAACTGTAAGTGAGACCTGAATCAAACAATGTTGACAGATAAAGTTTCATTACAGCTTAATATGAACTGAAAAATCCGCTCAGAGAATCTTTCATCGTTTAACAGAAAGACACTTTGAGCACATGCCTGTACAAAGTAAATTGACCTGGAAGTATAAAGTGTTTTTGGTAAAAGTGTGATGCTGGTATAATTCTGTCCAGGTGTTAACAACAACCTTGTATTCTCAGGATGCTTCTCTGTCAGAGCTGAAGATCAGCAGCGGAGATACGTTAGTCGTCACGGAAGGACAACTTCCTCCGAAGGTTCTTAAATGGTTTTAATTTTTTTGTGGGAGATTCTTGATATGTTATAACTTTACCTTTCTCATTTTAACTTTTTGTCGTCTCTCTTTCTGTCAGGGTTTCCTAAAGTTAACCATGTGGCTGTATCCAGATCCCCAAAACACAGAGACAGATTTTAACCACACTGCAGGTGAAACACAGAGTCTCTCACTTCCTCTGTGTGGCGGCAGCACGGTGGAGCTGAGAAGTGTAGGACAGGTGGAGATATCAGACGAGGCCACGCTGGAGGATCTCAAGACTCAGGTAAAACATGGAGATTGTGTGTACAGGTGTAGTTAAGTAGTCCACTCCTTAATAACTGCTAAATTAATCACGGTTGATTAATTTATTGATTATTTTATTACTCTGATGCTGGGATGATGTTTATTTAAATGATTCTAAATGATGAGGTTTGTGATTTTGTTGTTTTTTCTCTACCAAACGTTTAAAGCTGCTTCTCTTGCTGTACTTTATTTTCTACCTCTGTTTCAGGTATTGACGCTGCCTTCGCTGCAGAACGTGTGTTTGCCCATCACAGCGTTCATGCGCGTGTGGCAGCTGGAGGGAGGGAGGCTGGCACGAATCCTCAGAGGACAACAACTAACGCTCAGGTACCACAACTTTCTAGTCCCTCTCTTTTTCTAACAGATACACATGAGATTATTTTCGTTTGGATAAATACAGAAAGTTTGAGTCTGATTTTCTTCTGATCAGGAAATTGAAGCTGAGCAGTGGAACAGACCTTTGTGTGCAGCAGCTGCTGAAAGAGGAAGATCTTGGGTAAGGTTTAAGCTGTAACCGATTTCTGATAATGTAAAACATTAATATCCATCCGTGTGAAATAGTTCCTGATCAAGCCTCTTTCACTTGCTTATGTAATCCACTTTCTTGACTTATTTCCTCCTTGTCTTCCTAAGGCCCAAGGAGGTGTTAGTAAATGTGAAGATGGGCGTACCAGGGGAGAGGAGTTACTACCCTCCAGAGGAGCTGGTGTGGGATGCTTCCCGTGATTCTTCACCTCGCTCTCTGCGCACATGTCTGGCTGCACATTACGGCCTCTCCCCTGATTCTCTGCTGCTGGCCAAACACCAGCCAGACAAGCACATCTGGGAAGAAATATCCAACTGGGTAAGATTACAAGGTTCATGACAGGGAGCCTATGTATTTATATTCATATTTGCTTTCCTGCAGTGTTAATTCTGTAAAATAAAAGCTTGCACATAAACAAACAGAAACCTAGATGTAGAAATGATCCTCGTATCTCAGTGTTGTTGTACATGTTGCTCATTGATGGTCTATTATCACTGAATAACGTGTCTGTTACTTCCAGAACCAGCAGGTTTCCAAAAAGAAAAAGAAGAAGAGAACAGAATCACTGCTGGGAGCACCGTTCCACCTCAAAGATGGCGACACAATCGGCATCAAGGTGTTTGAAAGTCAAAGTCCTGTTTGTTCGTAAAAGAGTCAGTTTTGATTTCGTGTGAGAAACAATTCAATGTATTCTTGATTTTTCTTTTTCAGAATCTTTTGATTGACAACAACAGGGACTTCGTCACACAGGAGGACGAGCAGGGCCAGCAGAGGCTCCGGGAGCAGGCAGAGCAACGCAGGAAAGGGTGGGACGCTCTTACTTTTCCAGATGCAGCAGCTGGGAAAATGTTTTGTTACACTTGATATAATATTTGGGATTCTTTGTCTTTATGGACTTTATTGCTTGAACTGTCTGTAGGGAAAAGAAAACTCCAGCTCTTCAGCAGAAGCAGTATTTTTTGGCTGAAGTGAAAACTGTCGAATAATTTGAATTATTCTTATCTCAAGTTATTTTATTCTCTTATCTTTTCTTTAGAGAAAAAGCTGCAGGATCTGATGGCACTGCACCACAGAGGAAAGCTGGACAGACCAAATCTAGGAAGCCAGAGGTGGCACTGTCAATCAATGTTGGGGAATTCAGATAGCACCCGGCTCCCGTAGGTGCATGGACAAATCAGGACTACCTATAACACTACGCTACACACACAGAGGCAGGACAATCCACTTTAAAGTCACAAAATCAAACCGTGAAATCCTATCTGCATCCCATTTGTCTTATTGATAAAAGACATAATTTTATCTTTGATTTGCTGATTTGCAATATTTCTATGCGATGTAAATCACAACTTAATATCAATAAGTTTGATTTAATTACATATTCTTTATTTCTTCTTGAGGTTAAAATCCTGCAATGAAATTCTTTTCTCAAGTTGTGGTTAAACTGCAGCATTCAGGTTAAATTAATCTGTGTGTCCACCAGCACCAGGGGCTTTTAACTTCTGTCTTTCAGTAACCAGTTGTCCAGTACAAGCCACTGCAGTAGAAAACGTTTATGACACTCAGTGCAGTGTAAACCTTTGCCAAGGGCCCAAACTCACATGTTATAAACAATTCCTGGATCTGCCCCTTTGTCCAGATCCGCGCCGAAATATATTAATGTTTTGTGGCTGAAAAAAAAGCCTATGATATCCCATTATTAAATTTAAATATAATAGATGGAAATATTTACTTAGCTCTGCCCCAAATTGCACACACTCATAGAAGTCAGGCCCTTAAATATGCCTGATTCTTTTCATCGAGATCCATGAAGTATTCGCTGGGCAATCGGTGAGAATTTCCCAAAATCCATCATCTCTTGCATCGTTAATGAAAGAGGAAAACAAAATCCTGGATCCTGCTGAAAAACAAACGGACAGGGGTGAAAACAACCCCACTAAACTTCTCATGTTCTTTTACAAGTTTTAAAATCAGTGACTTTTACAGATGGGCTAATTTTAGGTTGATAAGGGAGAGGAGAGACAGGCCTTAATGTGGAGAAGCCTCAGTGCTGCTCTGTCCTCCCTACCTCACTCTCTACCTCTCTCACTCTACCTCTGCTGCCCTCTTCTATTACATTAAACTACAGTTAAAGTATTTACACAGCAACACTTTCTGTAATGTATAATTCTGTGTATTTTACATTTCAGGTGTTCACTGACAGCAGCTGCAGGGTTGTTTACTTCTTGTCATATTCTGTAAATGGGAAAATAACTTAATTGTCCTCTGTTGGACATGATTCACCTTTGACGAAGCTGGAAATTAAAGCAGAAAAGCATCTTCAGTTTCACCTAATTGTGTCTTTTTAGACATTTTAGAAGGAAACACTGTGTGGAGCAAAACCTTTGTGTTATAAAACCAGTTATGATGCCAGGTGAGAAAAGTAAAGATCTTTGATTTACTCCACGAGTTTTCATTGAGGACAATGTAATGTTTGATTTGCATGCACTATATGTGGACTTCAGGGAAGTTACAATAATTTATTTGAGATAAGTGACAAAATAATTGTGTTATTGTATCAATTGAATTGTGACATTTTTTTTGTGAGGATTTGATTTGATTTTTTGCCTCATATATAATTTGGCGTTAATCGGTGCCAAGAATTTGCAAATTAGAAAAATCTTTTTTGTTGATTGAAGCAAATGAGTAAAATATATATAACATGCTTCGCAATAGGGAATTTTTTTGATCATGTATCATTTACTAGTGTTGTGGATCACATCTTTGGTGTTATTGCTTTGCTGAAGTATGGAAATCTGTGTCTGATCAAAGTATTTCATCAACAATAAAGGTTTATAGTTGTAACTCAGTCATTCTTACAGATTTCTATCTCTGCTTGCAGCATCACTTTATAAATATTCATGTCAGTCTAACCAGAAGAGATATGTAGACTTTTCTGGTCACCCTAAGGGAAATGTGTTGAATGGACTGGTATTAAGTTAGTTCACACATTATCGTCCACCTCGGAAAGAATTAGGTGAATTTAAAACATTAGATTATATTAAATATTCATCCTGTATATTTTAAACACAACACTGAAGTGTATGTTTGTGAAAAGCGTAAATAACATTCAGGGAGAATAAGCTACACGGTGCAGCGTTGTCCAAATTAATTCTATGATTATTACATCCAAGTTCTTAATTACAGATACAAAAGATGAAGGATTTGTTTTTAAGACTTAAAATCTGAAACAGATAAATTACCAGGTTTTCAAAACACAAAGGATTTGCTTTGGTGTTTGGTGCGGAACAAATTAGTCGAAAATTAGAGGAAGAAGAAGCAGTACCTGAAGTACAAAAACAAAGATTAAGACGGGAACCTTGGAGTACAAGTTATTTTTTCAAATAATTAAAATTATGTACAGTTTCAAAAATGTGTTTCTTTTAAAATGTGAAATCTTATGTAGATCCCATTAACTTCTGGAGCGCCACCATCAGGTCAGTATTTTGGTTTACAAACTTTGGCTCTTTCTCTATTTTATACAAACTTACTCAAAAAAAAGTCTTGTTTTATGATGAGTAGTTTTTTAAAAATCGTTCTGTTCTATTACTAATAACCAAAGTAAATTACATTATACCTCTGTCTTTTATACATACAAATCCCCTGTTTTTGTGATCATCAGACTTTTCTTACTTTAACAAATCAAGTTTATTATTAAGTCAATTATTATTAAAGACAGATTTTAGATATTTTTTTGATATTACGTCTTTATAATGATTCTGATGGAATAAAAACGGGACAAATATATTTTTTCTCACCTGAATACATCAGTCTTCAGTGCCTCACAATCACAAGCTTTGTGGTATTAAACAATTAGAGCCCACGCAGCGGCCCCGTCGTCCAATCAGCTGCGAGTCCGCTGCTGACGTCAGGGCTGTGTTTGACAGTATTAATGTGGCAGCAGCAGAGAAGCAGCTTCAGCTTCAGCTTCATCTCACTGAGAGTCTGTGATCTGGATCTTTAACATCTGCAAACATGGTCGATGCTTTCTGCGCCTCGTGGAAACTGGTGGACAGCCACAACTTTGATGAATACATGAAGGCTCTGGGTGAGTCTGAGCTCATGGTGGTGTTGTTCTGCAGTGATGCTGCTGGGACAGAGGCTGCTGATTTAATATTTAAATATTTTTATTCTGATTGAAGAACATCCGGAAAATTCATATTCAAAGGGATAGTTCACCCAAAAACTGAAAATTCACTCATTATCTACTCACCACTATGCCGATGGAGGGGTGGGTGAAGTGCTTGAGTCCACAAAACACTTGTGGAGTTTCAGGGGTAAACAGCGTTGCAGCAAAAATACTATTGAAGTAACTGGTAGTCAATTCTTCAAACAGAAAAATACAGAAAAGCCTCCATGCTGCTCCTGTGGTTTCATCCAAGTGTCCGTCAGCCCCGACACTCAAATCTGACTTGAAACTGCACAATCATGTCTGTAGCCTAAATGTCCTCTGATATCCTCCTGACGTGTTTTGCGGACTCAAACACTTCACCCCTTGACATAGTGATGAGTAGATAATGAATGAATTCTCATCATCATTTGTGATGCATAGTTAAAAGTAGATTTTTTTGTTCAGGTGTTGGTTTTGCCACAAGACAAGTGGGCAATGTGACCAAACCGACTGTGGTGATCAGCCAGGATGGAGACAAAGTGGTGGTGAAGACACTGAGCACCTTCAGAAACACTGAGATCTCCTCCAAACTGGGAGAGGAGTTCGACGAGACCACGCCCGACGACCGCCACGTCAAAGTGAGTGGAGTCACCGATAAGTCTTTACCATGGTGGATGACTTCTTCTCCTGGACTTTTAAATGCATGGCTTGTGTTTGCAGTCGACCTTCACCATGGACGGAGACAAACTTGTGCAGGTGCAGAAGTGGGACGGGAAGGAGACCAAGTTTGTGAGAGAAATGAAGGATGGGAAGATGGTGATGGTGAGTGGGAATTAAAGATACAGAATGTGATTAATTGAGATTTGAGAGAAATGAAGAGAAGTCGTTCTGTCCATCCACCAGTTCATGAAGTCCTGCAGATAAAGTTTCAAACAGCTAATGTACAACTTTCTTTAAAAAAAACAATCTGATATCATAGAATTTAAATGGTTTGACAAAAAAACGTATCCATGATTTCTATACATTATTCACTTTTGTTTGCTTTTCCTCATCCCTGTTCTCAGACTTTGACCTTTGAGGGAGTCCAGGCCGTCCGCACGTATGAGAAAGCGTAAAACTCCACCCTGCAGTCGAAAGATCAACAAGGTGTTCTCCTGTTTTTTATTAAAAAGAAAAACTTTCTTATTCCGTATGCAATGATTTGCACTTCATTTGTTGTTTTACCATGTGATCAATATTTGAGGGAATCTTTTATGACGCCTTTTGTAAGAAATTCAGACTGTGAAGGGAAAAAAATAAACTTCTAGACTAAACGATCTTAAAGTCTCAGATATTTTCTGTTCATCAGCACCACTTCATCTGAACCCTGCAGCACATAGAGCGTCTTTCTTCCTCTCAACGTCCAATGTCCTGTGTTCCCCTGCACGCTGTGGGAACAGTGCAGTCCCTGTCATGGGTGCAGTTCCAGGTGACAGCTGCAGGGTGATGGTGCAGCAGCAGCGTAACCATTGAACCCAAGGGCCTGAGTGTCCTGTAGTAACCCCCAGATGGTCAGAGGCGGCTGAGAGCTGCAGGGGGACGGAGGGAGGTGATGTCACACGCTCTCGGGATAATCCGGTTAAAGTTGTGGTGTCATTACGTCAGAGGCATCATTCGATGGTGTGGACCAACCGCGACAGACAGGGAGCGGAGAGGAGAGGAGTTTGTACCAATCCAATATTCAACAGTTACAAGTTCAAGGTATAAAAATAGAACAAAAAGTGTCCGACTGGTCTTTAGAGCTTTGATTTAAACAAGACTTCACAGAGTTTCCTCATTTATCCTCCATCTTTCCCACATTTCCTCCATCCAAATGAACACTGTCTCTACAAATGCCTTTTCTTCCCGTCTCCACACTTGGGCTGTCGGGTTGGTTGGCCTCCTCTCAATAGGCCTCTGACACAAAGAAACCCTGGTAACTGGAGTGGAACTCATACAGTCACTGCCCACTGAATAGATTTCAATCAAAATCTTGTCTTTATGCTCCAGTTAGAGTCACGCCTCTGCTCTCACATCATTTGCATTTGGAGGATTACGACAGTGAAAAGGAGTTGAGTTGATCTCACGATATTCTCAGCAGCACAGTCACAGAGAAGGGAGCTCATCAGCGTCCAGGAAACAGTCACAGGTAGTTTCACTGTTCTTCTTCTGTCCTCGCTGCTCGTCCCAGGAGACGCAGAGCAGAAGGTTTCCTCTCAGTGAGGAATCTGTGTCAGTGGTGTAAGCCGACCCGTAGTAACCCCTGTCTGGCCTCATTAGAGAAATACAGTGTGAAGGCCTGACCATGTATAGACGCTCCTCCTCCGCTCCATTGTCTCATGCATGATATTTCCCATTTACACTCGTCAGGACTGTGTCTGCCTCTGAGGACACGGAGGTCATGTCTGAGGTCAAATCTCTGCAAAGAGAGTAAACTGACACACATTGAGTTTTTAGAAAGTCTCATTTCTAATCTGTATGAAATTCATTTCTTTCTCATTCCTTGAATTGGATAGTAAATGTTCTCTTCAGCTGACGCCTCCTGAATTCCTTCAGTATCCCCTGAACCGACACATTGTTCTTCACTATCTTTGCATGACTCAGCACATCACTGCACGTTCAAGGACAGGACAAGACGAGATGAGCTGCCACCTTCAAAGCTGCTGTTCCTGAACCTCTGTACACACCATGCTTTAGAAACTCTGCTCTGTACTCAGTGTTGACGATGTATGACTCAGCGTTTCACACTGTGTGAGCAGGCCAATGGGTTTAAATCACTGATGCTCCTTCTTCATTTTGCTCATATCTCAGGTAACGTGTGTTCATCTTCAGGTTCTGAATTTAACTACGTTAAAGTCCAGCACTGACTTTACCACCTCAGTTAATAAAAAATAAAAAATAAATCGATTTTAGGTTCATTTTAAATAAACAGAGATTTTTATTCTCAGAATGTAGCAGCACGGAGGACATTCAGAGAATTGAATTTTGTGAGTTTGTAAAGTACATTTTACAGAGTTCATAATTTTTGGGGGTGTGGTTCTATTGAAGGAATTTGGACTTGATTTTAGGATTTTTTTAAATCAAAGAAATTATAGAAGGATTTCAACTTTTTGTAATAATAATAATAATTATTATATTAATAACTGGCTTTACAAAGTAACTTTCAAGGCTGCTTTACAAATTCAATAAAAATAAAACAAATTGATAAAAATAAATTATGGCATAAATGTGATTTTTTTGCAGAGACAAGAAGACAAGATTTACCAGAGACACACTTGCATTGCTATGTTTTAATGTCAAATCGCTTCTATTCACAGGCACAATGAGGGTGTAACTGACATGACAACAATAGTTTAGAGATAAACCACAATCTATTTTTAATTTATTTAGCTATTTACAATGAGATTACTGATTAATTACAGTTACTGAGCTGTGAATTTCTGTCGTTAGCAACATCATAGAAAGACGTTATTGTCGGTTATTGGGTTAAAATACCCTGATTCACAGGTTCAAGTATTTCACGTTACCATTCTCAGGGTTCTGGTTGTGGTGAAACGTTACACAAACATTTGAGAGCATAAAATAATCACACACACACATCATGCACATTTCATTCAAGGACCATCACACAAACATACACTTCTATCATCGCTAAGATGATCAGATATTCATGTATTGCACATGTTCACTTGGTAAAAGTGAGACTTTTAATAAAATGATGACTCTTATATTAACAGTAACGTCCTCTTTAATAAATATCCAACAGAGACGAGACATCGTTCTGTCATTTTATGAACAAAACACCAAAAAGTTCATCGGTGACAGATGGGCGTCGCCACAAAACTCCAGCTGTTACACGACAGTTCCTGTCTGTGCAGCTGCAGAGGGATGTAGTGCACCTGCATCATCTATGGACTCACAACGAGTGTGTTCCTGTCAGTGGACTCAGATTAGATTAGGACTCACAAGCTTTACTAACTGTCTTCTATGCAGCATATGGAGCTAAATGTAAAGAGCCATATGTGAACAACAGCTGGCACAAGCTGACTGAGCGTTAATGTACCAGCCGACGTAAGCATTCATCTGAATGTGTGACGCCCGCTGCTACAACTTAGAGCGTTGAGTATGTCAGCGTTTCAACATTAGGCTCAATTTAAACAAAATAACAACATTAATGCCAACATCATTTGTCAGAGATTTCAAATAAGTGATTCAAACTCAATCTGACAACTGGTAGCCCTGCCTGTTCATCTCACGTACAGGTTGTCCTCATAATATAAATCCTGTTTATATCTGCATTACAGCACAGTTATCATAATAAGATATGTATTCATATTGTTTTATGCCCGGCAGCAGAAATAGCTGCTTTCAACCACTTTGAACCTGGAAATATTGCATTTGAGATTTCTGCTCATTTCTTAAATGTTTTCCACATGTCAAGTTTCTACATCGTGCTCACGGACAAACAAGCACCGACATAAGTCCGTCACACTGGGTTTTTGGTCTATCAAAGTAAAAACAGAGTGAATCTGATTCTTGATGATATAAAAAAAAACCTCATCCTGAGAGTGCAGGAGCACCGACGTCAAAATGAGGGACTGGTGCCGATGTGCCGATGGTACAGTTTAATAAGACTTCATGTAGGTAGTGTCTCGTCAGTAAGATTGGGAGCTCTCTTATACAGTGCATAGTCATTCCTTTAGACAAGTACAAACAAAGAAAAAACACATTGTCTATCTATCTATCTATATCTTTTAAAATGCAAAGAAGATCAATTTGTTTTCAATGCTTCAATTCCTCTTTTGTGCCCAGACGGGAAGTGTGTGAAAAAAAAATCCTTTTAAAAATCCTTGGAATTATGCACAAACACTATAAATTACTTAAAGGGCTTACAAAGCAGGGTATGAAAAGGTTTGGCATATCTCTGCAGTTAGGCAAAAAAAAACCTACATCTACAATCATGAATGAGCATAAATGTTAATGTACAAACCACTTTCCACATAAACACCAGAACTGAAGCCCTGTCAGCCTGGATCAGTGATTGTGGCCATGTTTGTACCCTGTTTACACTGAAACATACTCAGCACCATGTTACTGCTCATTAAAATATGCAACTTGACTCAGTGTAAGTGTATTAAAAGTATTTGAGGATTTAAACGAATGATCCACAGAAGTTGATTCATGATGTTGTTCCATGGAAAAGATTCATTTGATTCCACCTCTCAAAAATATTAAACACAAAAAGAAATAAATGGAGAGGAATGACATTAGCTGTATGTATTTGGTACGAGAGCTCAACCAAATCTGGAAATAAAAAAAAATGGTCCATCACCCATCATCCTCTGCTGCCCAGGCTCTTTCCCTGGAGATCTAACATCGAACGGCAGCCGGGTTTCAGCAGCGCAGGGTGTGATGTGACCTTGTCGTTATCAGAAAACACTGTAAACCTCAGACTGGAGTCTGAAGCTTCAGACCTGCAGCGGTGAGAAGGCGTAGAACGGAAACTGGGCCTCGTCCTCGTCCACAAAGAAACACTGGAAGTACGGCATCTCGTCTGCGGAGGGAGAAACAGGACTTATGAGTGTGGCATGTGCCTCACCTTTCTCTGGCCTCTCAATCTGACACGAGTATGATATTTGGGATATGAGAGGGGAATTTGTACCTTCCATGAGAAAGCTGTCTGATACACCAGGCTCAGCTGTTGAAAACACAACATGATGTTAACTAAACAATAGAATGATATGTGGTATTAAATTAAAACTGTGCAGCACCTTTAACGGCCTCTTCTTTGGCTGCTTTCTTCTCCACAGGTTTCTCTAGAAGAAAAACATGTAAACAAAGCAAATCAAGTTTAATTGATGGATTTCAAACTCTCAAACAAACAATTTAATAACTTGATAAGTACCTTTCTTTGCAGGCGTCTGTATCTCTTTCAGAACTCGCTCCTCTGAAAAGAGGAACACAAGAGTAATAACTATTCAAACCATTTCCTTACAGTGTTTAATCACACAGATGTTGTTTTTAATTTTAAATCTTGATTTAATGTTCAAAGCTGACCACACACCTTTGGGTGCCTTCTTCTCAACTGGTTTTCCTACCAAAAAGAAAATAAAGAATTTAGGTCTATAGAAGTAGATGTACTGTAAACTACTTGTCTGTTGTACATATTTACTTTTATTTTACTTTTGTGATTACATTTTTTCTAATTTCTACTTCTCCTTAACTACAATTCAGAGGGGAATTGTTTTTACTTGCACATTATATAGAAAATATGATGCATTGTTACAGAGTTAACGACCCAACAAAATAAATTATTCCACCTCAATTGAATACACCATACAAATTCCTTAAAGTTCTTTTTATGTAGTTTAAGTACTTTAAGAAAATAATGTCCTTTAACTGGATTTTAAATCCTCTCTCTACCGACACATCACTAACCTTTCTTTACAGGTGTGATCTTTTCCTTCAACACGACTGATCCATCAGGGAGAAAATGAAATAGAGTTTTTGGATTGGGAAATATCAACATCATGTAACAGACATAAAATGTCTTTGAAATATTAATAATATTCTTGACAAACATACTCCTGACAACCTGAAATTGAACTTGTACTAGTTAACACTCAGCGTGATCACTGATATAAATAAATTTGAAGATGTGCAGCGGGCACTGTACCTTTCTTTACTGCAGCAGGTTTCTTCTTCTCTTGTTCTGCAAAAGGGAAACTCACATCAGACATGAACAGTCAAGAGATGGAGACGTACACTGCAGAATAAACCACAGCATCACCACAACAAAGAAGAGTTTATTTAAGCAGAAAGCAGCTCGCAGAGCCTGAAGCACGTACAACCAGAAAGCTGAAATCAGAATTAGAAGCTTCATCACTTGTTGAGAAGAAAAAAACCTTTTGATTTACACCATTTTTAATTTCCTGCAAAAAAGAAACGTGAGATTTCACTGTGCAAAACAATTAAATGATGCATCTGACGATTGAAGCCCTCTCACTTTCCTGTGCATTATTTCTCTACAGCAAAACACTGTTCCCCTGCTGAGCGATCCAATCAGCGCTTTGACAAAATGCAGTGACCTACATTTTGTGACTAGATCAGTTTGATCTCAGTCCAGCGTTAGTTCTATGAATCACTACCTTTCTTCACYCGGACCGGTTTGACCTTGTCCTTCAGCCCGGCTGAGCCATCAGGAAGAGAAAGCATTTAATAAAGTTATAATTATCCTTGGTTTGTAATCACAGCACATCAATGCACCCTACATGTATTTGTCACCACACATGACGACAATGTGAGAAGTAAATATTCTTGTGTACCTTTTTTAACAGCTGGTTTGACTTTCTCCTCTGGTGCTTTGGGCTCTAGAAATGAGAATATAAATACTCTCAGCAAGTAGCTAAAGTAATACTTCTTTAACACATACTCATCATCTAATTATACATAATTAGATTGTSTGAGGTACAACCCCCGACAATCATCAGCAGGGAGGGAGCAGTGCTACCTTTCTTCTTTTCCAGGGATTTGACTTTTTTCTTTGGTGCTTCAGCATCAGTTTTAGGAGCTGATTCAAACGTAAAGACAATAACAGCATCACAACACTGAAATTAGTACAAATTTTTCCTTTGAGTGTTTTGTTATTAGATTTACCTTTTTTCTCATGAACTGCTTTAGGCTTCTCCTTCACAACTTCTGCTTCTGTGAGACAAGAAAGAAAT